TCCATGGAAAGCTTAAAGGATGTCCCCAGAGTTCTGCGATGATCCTTTATCCGCATAAAATGTATTTGCAGAATTATTTCTAATCAGATTGGTTCAAGGGAGGGATAAGAGAGGCAGACCCAAGAACACCAGGTGTCGCACAGTAGAAGGAGAGGTGAAAGCCTGAAACAACAGTTAAGGCACTATTACTAAGCCAGGAGTGGAGGACCTCGGTCGCTGTCCTATATTCTTGCTGGCTTAATGGGAAGTAACCATAATAATCTCAAATCTTTTTTATCACGACTGCTGTCAGTGGCTACTCATGACTCTGAGATCAGGTTGTTCTTTTCATTGAGAGTCCCCCAATTCTTTTGCAAAGTAGTAGGAACAGTCTAAATTGCGATAAATCTACCACAACAGCCTGAAAAAAATACTGTTCTAATAATGTGTAAAATATTTAATTCTATTAAGTGAGCTTTGATCAGTTATACTTGACATGAAAACGTTGGCAGATGCCTCAGGTGCCAGATCAAATGTGCCTTAATACATATATAAAGTATACCTCCTTTATCCTCTGAACGAAAAATTAAACATAGGAGAGGAGTAAGTTTAGTTGAGAGAGTCATTTCCTTAAGAACACAAAGGAATTGGCCAGAAATCAATTATTTATAAAATTTCTCCCCATAAAACCCTGTTGAGTAACATACTGTAAATCTACTCCCATCGGAGAGCGAAGCGACGCCAGTAAAGGAGATTAAGAAAAGGCAAACATACTTTGCGACATAATGAAAAGGGCTGGTCATTTGTAATTAGACATGAGCCCTCTTCCTGATGTTATCTTGTGTAAACGAGTATTACTTCTAAAGATTGGAAAATTTGTTAGCTTCTTGCAAGACAAAAAAGCTTATTTGTAGCATATGCTAAATGCGACGAAAAACAATGAAAAATTAATGATTGTCATCTTTTATTCGTGACATATTTATCTTTTCATTACAGTAGAGAAAATATATATAACAATAAGCTATGTGTTAAGGTTTTTATTGGCTATATCCTCCTAGATTCCAAGGCTTTAGCTCGTCAAAAAAAGCTATCTGTGCTCGAATGACGACTTCTCTCCAAGGCTTAAACTCAGTTCTGGCATGTGAAAGCTATGCGTGTGTCAATGAAAACACCCTTTGATAAGATAAACAATATTCGGTTATTTGCTTGTTTCTAATTAAAAAATAACAC